GATGATGATGATGATGATGATGATGATGATAATGAGTTCATAGTTATAACTTCACCTAACTATGCAATCAGTGGCGGGATGCTCGTAATGGAAAATAACTAACGAACAAAAAGAAAAAGAAAATGAAAACATTTACATATAAAAGAAAAAAAACAAAAAACTACACATGTATCCGCCTTTAAGGCCGACAAATAATTCTAATTACATTAGATTTACATGACGTTACTCACTGATATTTCATGATAAACTCCGCAGTATCAATAGTCTGGACAGAAACGCTGTTAGACCTAGTGTGCGATCTGATCCCATTAGCTAATCGTCTAGGAAACTCCTGGAAAATAAACACAATGCTATCATTAGATTTCTAAATTCATATTTAATTTTGTAATTAGTGTAATTATCTTATCAATCAATCGTACACAGGCAACTAATTACGGCGGGTAGCTTTAAAGCAGTTTTTATGACTGTGAAAGCCTCGTTGCCGTATGCGTGGCTTGCCGCAACCATAATGCTTTCATATGAAGGTTCGTTGTTAGCTTCCCTGCTAGCAGAGCCTATTTTCCTTTTGTTTTGGTTGTGAGAGAAAAATAGACTCCGCCGATGTAGGACGTTATTTTTGTCGCGCATGCGTGGCGTAACTTAGCAACGCTGCCATGATTTTGACAGCCACTCTCGTCAAACGATGTTTGGCGCCACGGTGTGTTGCATTTGCTCATGCGCACTACATGTAATCGGTTAAAAACCGGTTTTAAAACTGGTTTTATTCTTCCACCATCGTGGACGGCGGTGTATCAAAGGAAACGCTCTACATCGGCAGAGTCTCCTTCCTCCCCGCCTGAAAGAAGGGAGAGAAAGAGAAGAGAGACTCTGCTAGCTGGGAAGTTGGTAGCCTTCATTTACCAGTGAAAAAAGGAATAGCAAAAATCTCAAAGTTGTAGCTAAGGAAATTCCAAAATATACTAACGGCTAATTTCTGATGAACCGATGGAGTGATAAGACTCTGGCTCCTACCACGCCTGACTAGTTCTGGTGACTCGGACTCTAAGGAAAAAATATGTAATAATTAATTTATTATTAGTTAGGAGCGTATGGCTAATGGATTGGATTTTCCATCTCAAACCCCTTGGGACTGCCTAATTCATTCGCCCATATTCATACAGTCAATTCAAAAAATGTTGTCGTCGACCAATTCAAGCCTACGCAATTGGACCGAAAGGAACTCTGGGTAGTAATCATTGAAGCCGAGTTGACTCCATAATTTTTTCTGACTAGTTATGCCTGGTTTAAAGCACGAACCTTCGTAGGCGAGCGGGAAGTGTTGAAGGAGCCTTTTTTTAATTCCTCCATATTTTCGAAATTGTGAACTGAATCATAACTTCTTTGTTTTTCTTTCCCTAAACCCAAAGACATGCATTTGATGGATTGTTTCTCGCCATTATTATCTTATTGTTAATCAAAGTATTATGATCATCCGGGTGGATTTAGTTCTGAGTAGGACTGTTTGATGTGACCGACGTTTCGACAACCTAAGCGGAAGTCATCTTCAGAGTCAAGTGAAGAATAAAGATAAATTATTATCTTATTATTACTAGCGGGAACAATCAATTTCCGAAAATTGTAACAAAAATCGCCGCAAAAATCGCTAGTGTAAACGGGGCTTTACAGATAATTCACTGGGTTAATACGTCACCCTCTTTAAATAAAGTTCATTTATTTATTTATTGATAGATATACATCGAATAACTTCTGAAAGTGCCTATCGACCCTAAAGGATATCTTCGTGATTTGAAAGCCCTTATAAAATAAATGAGAACGGCGGTATTTACTATGTTTTTGATATCTCTATCGTTCTTGTTGCCCAGAATTACGAGATGATGACGTCATCACGCGAACCTAGTGCGGTCGAATATTAAATTTTTCTGCGAGAATTAGCTGAAAAAAATATTTGAAACTCGTTTTGGTTATGGTGGAGGGTTAAATTGTCAGTTTTGCATGTTTGATAGTGCTGTCTTTGAAACGCCCTTAGATCCAGGCTCTTTCCCCGCTAAATCCACAGGAACTCTACTGGAGAGAACTATGAATGAATGAATGGATTTTTTCCCCGACAGTCCGCCAACCTCACTTTCTTTTCCAGAATGATACAATACCAGGAAATGACCAGGAAATGCTGTGGTTACAATAAAGAACCCGTCAGTCAAGCGAGACTCGGCGTTCTTTTGAGGCTTAAGCCAGTTATTTAGGCCTTGGTTTGGGCAATTATTATCCAGTCGTAATCCTTAATCCTTAATAACAAACATCTTTTGTACCAAATTAACAGCTTACTATAGAAGCAACCTACTTCTGTTTAAGACAATGATAAACGATAAATCTCCAGACAATATTGGCTTTTTGTGTTCTTGGAATTCAGTTGCGACAGTAATTACGATTGCATTAAATATACGTCTTGAAACGAGTCACTCAAGTGAACATAGCTTATTCACTTTATTCTATCAGACCACGTTTTATTCTTTTTCCTTCAAATTCAAATTCCGATACTCCTATCCATTAGTAAAAATGTTGTAGTTGTATGGTATCTGGTTTTGTTTTATTTTACGGTGTTCCCTGTTTTGATTTGACTTTCGTTTTGAAGAAAAATTCAGGTTTGTGATTGCATTTAGAGGTCAGGTGTTACAAATTTTCCAGTTCAAATTTGAAAACAACGAACGAATTACTTGAACTACAAAAATCCTTTTTAAAAATCAAAAAAACTTCCCAATCTTGACGGTCTAAAAAAGCTTGAACAAGTTAATAATTACCAAGTTTATTATTAGCTAGTTTAGTTTTTATATTAAAATCAGTTTTACTGTAGTAAATACTTCAACAACGCTCTGTGTATTTTCAAGAACAGTTTTTGATATGGAGTTTTACGTAATTTCTTACCTCCCATTCTGGATTTCCAGGCTTGCTTGGGTTTTATATCGTTATTATTTTCTTGGAAGGCTGGATCATTGAGGTATTCCTGACGGTTGAATAACAAGCATTTAGGACAGTCTCGTGTGAGTCACAACATTACAGTTCGTCAAACTGAAGACTAATTTTATAAACATTCTTTAAAAACTTCGTCTTACCTGCTCATCGAGAAATATTTTGAAGATGCGTTCCTCTTCGAAGACAACACAGAATCGAAGGATCCATGTTTTTCTTCCTTTGTCTGCTTTGTCTTCACCTTCAATCAAAACAAAAACCTTCTGATAAACTTCAAAATGAAAGTACTTTCAGAAAACAGATCATCTGTCAACATAGTCTGATATTTGCCTAACCTCGCATGTAAATCCAACCCTTGGATCTTACTGAAAACATTGACAACTAGCTCGTTTAGACAGGGTTAAGTTGTTTCAATGCATCGTGTTTTAGGGATAAATAGTCTAAAGCAGATAAGTACTCTAGTATAATATTTCAATCTTGTTTCTCTTTCAATCAACACTACATTCTGATTATTCATCAAGTCTGTTGTCTAAAGAGCCAATCATATTGTTTTCTATTGTTTCGATTGACAATACGACCTGGCAGCTTTGTCGATCTTTGGTTATGAGAAATTGATGTTTTGACACCTTTGAATCAAACCACACAAGTATTTTTCTTGGTTTCTAGTGTGATTGTAAACTTAGCAAACATTCCGATACACACAGTCGAACGTGGTAACAAAAAAGAATTGTCAAACTCATAATGATAAAAATACATCTCTTGCTGTGTGGCTAAGTTTTTTACTTGTAGTCATTCGACACGCTATGTCATGCTTGAATTCGTTCAATTTTCACTCAGACGATCTGAGAGAGAGAGGCGCGGTTAGTTTCTTAAAATAAACATATAAGATTTAAAAAGTTGAAGCCTTGATCCAGGGACGGTGTTCATTTTTCCAGTCAGTGGTTATCCGAGTCAGTAGTCCCGCTGGTTCACATACGACCTGGACATACCAGTTTTTGCACTAAACTTCCGCTTCATTTTCTTACCTCTTCTTTTTTTCCTCCTTTCTTTCTTTCTTCCTTCCTTCCTTCCTTCCTTTCGTTCGTTCGTTCGTTCTTTCTTCCTTTCTTTCTTTCTTTCTTCTGTTGGACTCTCATAAACTTTTTTAGCTGTCTAAATTGTATTCTTATTTAACTCGACATTCTTGTAAAGCAATTTTTATATTGATAGAATTTKTTTTCGAGTATAAATAAAGTATCACTCACTCACTCACTCTCTCTTTCTCTCTCGATATTTTAATAAATGTTGGCGGACATATAACATATCTCTTTGGTATTGCAAAGGTTGATGCATGATGATTATGAGCACTTTTATAAAGACCATTTTCATATTCCCATAACACAGTGCGGTTATTGGGAGGTAACCGAAGGAAAGTCCGCACATATTAAAACTAATCACAAGGTTTTGCAAATGTATTTGATGACATTAAGAAATGCATGAGAAACAATTAGAAACAAAAATAAATAAAAATGAAAAATGAAGAAAAATAGCCGGTAACCCCCACAAAGCAAGGGGAATTTGAAAATGGCGAACTTCTTTTTCTTTTTCTGCATTGGATACACTTATTTCAATAAAGTTAGTCACGCCTGAAAAGCTACACAGCTGAGACCGGCGAGGATTATGGGTAGATACATTTTACATGTTTCAACCGCTTGATAACTGTTGATGGACTTGAGATCTTCTACCAGTTACAAGTTAACCTCCTCTGAGCATCCTCAACTGCTGCAGTTTGTGTCAAAAGCTTTACTTGTTGAATATGAAATATTTCCCATGATTCTAGGCGATCACAGGTTTCTAGGTTTTTGTTGACTAACTTTGTTGAAATAAGTATAATAGAATATATCAATCTTACTCACTTTTGCCTCACCATAAAATGCTGTCATGCCCAAAATTATATATTATCGCATAGTTAATATTAACTATGATTATCGTATGAATCAAATTTCAAACTACAGGAATCCCAAACAGCAACCCCTGTTATGCATTCGAACATAAAAACCCTAAGAGGGATGACTACGCCTGCCCTGAGGGATACAACGCTATCCTTGTTCAGCAAGGGCTCACGCCAACCACGTGTCACCGTGAGTGTCATGGTTGGTGGATATTCGAAAGTTGCCATAACGATTGTGGTTATGCAGTGTACAACACATATTGGTGCGTGGCTACAGGTGAGAGAAAATAAATGTATCTACAATCAGCTGATCTGAGAAAGAAATGCTAGCCAATCAGAATCAAGAAAATTTGCAAAACTCATGTGTCACTTTCCCTTTTAAAATTATGGATTTCCAGTTCTCCAAATGAAAAGAAACAGCTTTGCTAATATAAGCATTTGATCACAGTGACGCATAATTAATGAATTATATGTTTTTATTGCAATGGCGGGCAAGTTTTTAGTTTTCGCAGGCTTGATGACACCTCAGTTTTGCCGTGACGTCACTTCTACGTCACTTTTTCAGATCAGCGGGTTTAGAATATCTAAAGCTCTGGATGGATGGATGACG